GAATTCCTCTGACTTTTGGCACATAACTACCTCTGAAACCAGTAATCCCTGACTGACTGACTAATATGATTACTTACTTCTGTATGGTACTATGGTTCCTCTGTGTTAAGACCTTGGCAAACTCTCTGACTCTATCTATCGGACTACCTCTATCTAGTATTCGGAAATGGCGCTTATTTACACGTCTTAAGCAATTCAGTGCTGGACGCGTGACTGCCTCCTATGGATCGATCAATTTACTTTCCAACAAAAGGCAGTTTATGCAAAAATGACTAGGCTATCAGTGAGTTACTTTATCAGCCTTGACAGAGCGCAAATGGGAACATAGACAAACGAAGTTGGAAGTCAGTATATATTCACCGTCGTTTGATGTAGTATTCTAGCGATAGTTGGAATAAAAGGAAACATCATGAATATTCAGATGGATCTAATATTCAGATTGATCAAACTTGAGCGGCTCTGTACTTTTCCTTCTTCATCAATAAAGCATTCTACCTTCTGAATTTGTCTTCTTCAGCATGGGAATTATTCACATTGTTGCTGCCACATACAAAACATAATAAAAAATAAAGGAGCATGGTAGGGTTAAAGTTATTGGTGAGTACTATCAGAATACCTAATTACCAGATCAGTAGCAATGTTGAAAATACTCAAGCGCATACATGCAGCAAAACGAGGATAGTATTCACTTGTGCGATCCTTTCTATGGTCATAATTTAACGTTGCTTCGTAAAACTGAAAACAATCGATCTTTCTCGGCGACTTCTGCTTTATTATTTTTTTCTGGCCTGGCTTCATATTTTTGATAAGCTTAGTTCTTATACTGCCTTTAGCACCAGTGCTACATGTTAGGGAGCCAACTCATTTGTGTCCAAGTGCCATTTCCTTTCTGTTGAGCATGGAGCTCAACATAAAATTGAAAAAAAAACCATAGCATGCGAATGACCTACGAACGGTAAAGTTAGCTCTGTGGAAGAAAAAAAAAAAAGAAATCGCACAGCGACAACGCAAATTTTTGACTCCAGAAAGTAGTTCAGTAGATGTCACTAGAGCACATCAATCACCAAATAAAGTGAGCAATATACTGGTTACCTTTGAAGAGTGAGTAATGCCAACGGTGTTACAATAGCAATCAAATATTGCATTGCTTATTGATAATGTGATAACGCTCAAGTACAGCTTCATGATTTCATGGTGTTATATATATTAGTCTACAACGGGATGGCTTTACTAAAGTACATTGCCCTGTACTACATTTGAAAAGCAATGATATTAAAGAATTAGATTATTTAACAGTAATGATATCTCATTTTCCATAGGAGAGGCGAAAATTAAAATATGGGGTTTCGACCTCGCCACAGGTCTTATCAGATGGAGCTGCGGCAGCTATTACCACCAATTGGCGGTCGCCAATTCGGAACTCGCGGTCTTTCTCAAATAGCCTTTCCAGGGCTTGTTTCTTATAAGCAAAGCCAAAAGAATGATATGGGAGTAATTAAAAAGTTATATAAAGAATGGGATATTTTTATTTTTTCTGTATGATGTGTATATACTTTCCCATAGTGATACTCATCAAGGTAAGAGTATTCTTATCGCGTTGTTACCTTAACAGCAAGACAGTTTTTATTTGGTTCATTGATAGTTCTGTTATGATGTTTCATTACTATGGAGATGTACTTGTTACTCTGAAGGTGTCTCTGCATGTCGTTCAAGTGGTGTTCTTTACGGTAACGAGGTTTTGCGCGATTTGGGAGATTAGTATCCTGGAGGAGGAGAAATGTCATCGCTGGTAGTGGTTGTGGCAGTAGTGGTAGTGGTAGTATCGGTGGTAGTAGTGGTGGTATCGGTGGTGGTAGTGGTGGTATCAGTGGTGGTAGTGGCGGAGCTTGCAGATGAAGAATCGACAGCAGAGCTAGGGGCAACAGAGCTGGGATCAACAGACGAAGGCATAGGAGAGGGAACAAGTGAAGGAAAGGCAGCTGCAAGAAGGCCATTAAGATCAACGATAGAGCCGGCTCCCATGCAGGGAATGGAAAAAGTGCTAGTTCCAAGCAAGATGGAAACCGAACGGGAAGCACATTCATCGCCGCTGTGCTTATCATGGTGATCATCCTTGTCATCCTTTTCATCGTCGTCACCCTTGTCATCAGACCAAAAGTTTTGAGGCTCGGCAACCTTGGCATTACCTTGCTGTACTTCAGCATTTTCTCCCTTTGAGAAGGCAGAAGCGTCAACAGCGCTTAGTGCATACAAGCAGCAGATCAGAATGGGGATGACTGAGCGCATTGTCAAGATACGTTAGAGTGAATGCTGAGACACCTATCGTAAAGACTGAACTTTTATACAAGTGGTACTGAAAGTTTGCTTGCGCATAATAGTGATTTTAATACCCCTGATATTTCTCATGCTGCAGGTATCAAATGTTACCCTTTCCACATTTATTAAAAATTTTGGATTGAATTATGCAAATAGCTAACTCCATGTCTTCTATTTGAGCCGATTTCTTTAGGTGGTCTTATACTTGTGTTGTGTTAGTGGGTAACAATGATGCTCAGTTGACAGGTTGTAATGACGGATTAAAGGTTTACATCCATGTAACTTGATGATGCTGTCTTTTTGTCCGTCCATTGATAAAATGTACTTTTCTTTAATAATTTAACGTCGTAGCTTAGACTGTAATGAATCTGACAACTGGAAAGCGCAAACTGTTTAGGCTTGCGACCAGTTTTACAATATATGACCTATTCCGCATTGTGCAGCTTCCTCACGACAGGGGGTCTTTTCATCTCAGTGTAACTCGCTGCACTTTCAACCGTATCGCAGCTAGGAGCTGAGATATTTTAAGGCACTATTGTTCACATCAGTCCATTAACCTTACCTTTCCAAAAGGGTCTATAAATCCTTACCCCATTCGAAATATCTCAATTGTCAAATGCTATGTTCAGAATTTGTCACTCATCGCAAAAATACATAGTATGTTTTCTTTCAAGTTAAGTACTATTATTTAATATCTCCAACCTGATGCCTCCCTCTCGTCAGACGAAAAATCTAAGTTCATAATTATTACAATCGATAATGCTTTGCTCTATTGCTTTTCAAGCTTTCATTCAATCGTCCCTAGATAAGGGCAGTAGAGTAAACCATCATCACAACCCTATTTAGGGGGGAAAAAAGGGCCTGTAAACACTATACCACCGGTACGGTAGCCGCTATTACAAAACAGCTACGTGAAGAGAATACAAGGTTCAAGAATTGAGAATAATTAGAACCAATTGGGAAATGAGAATCCGCAGCAATGACTTTGTGACTTTGATATACTGCGAGAGAGAAGTGAAAAGTAAGTTCGTCTAAGTTCGTCAATGTAGAAGCATGAAAACAGTATTATAAAATACAGCCTTCAACCACATCATTGAACACGTAGTTCACAGCAAATTCCAGCTTGAGAAAAACGGCCTCCCACTCTTCAACTATTTCCCTTCATGATTTGGGCACACGTTCGCTACTTCTTGCAGCAGATATTTCTCTAGCTTCTTGAGCGTTAACTTGCCAAATGCTCATGCAGCGCATACTTAACAAAAATCCGGATGTTAAGTCTATTTCTCATGTTCACAACTGGGCTTTTTCTTTCATTTGGTGACGGTTAAGTGGGTATGGTAGTGATAGAAAACTATCATTTTTTGTTGTTTTAATGGTTTCAGCTAAATTTTGCAGCTGTGTTATCTAACGGCAAAGGGTGCACGAATTTAACATGGTCTACTTTACCCATCTTTTACTGACTAATATCTTTTCTTAAACGTAAGATTAAGGTTTTTGGGACCAATGATATCCATACCACTCATGACAATATCGTTTTGATGCGATGATCCCGGTGCAAGTTCCCATTCATATTTGCGTACTAAACAAGCAAAAAATAAGCGATTAATAAAATGGATATGTCGTTACTGGTAAAACGGACGAAGAACCCACCCATCATACTGAGAAGCACTCGCTGTTCAGCCAAACTCATGTTCATGCCTGCGCACTGATGTTGACCACCACCAAAAGGTAACCACGAGTTGCTTGTCTTTGAAGACTTGTTCGCTGCTGAAAAGCGTTCAGGATCAAACTTGTATGGCTCGGGCCATAAATCTGCGTCATGCTGAAGAGCGATAATGTCAACAATAACATGCGTTCCTTTGGGAAGAACGTAGTCTCCAAGTTCAGTGTCCTCAGAAATTGTACGGGGAGAAGTCCAAACAGCAGGGCCAGCAATACGAAGGGTCTGTAATGCAGGATTAGTTACTTGATTTGGGACTATTAGGTTTATCAATGAAAATCATTTACCTCTCGAATGACCATGTTGAGATAAGGCATTGCTTTGGACTGTTCAACAGTAGGAATAACATCATGGGGTTCATCACCCAAGTATTCAATAGCCTCAGCTCGAAGTTTTTGTTGGATCGCCTAGATTATAAGTTTGAATATTAAAGATAATTTGAAAATCTGCACTCTTGTAAATCACATACCTTGTCCTTTGCAAGGTAATAGAATGCCGAACTCAACGCATTGGCAGTGGTGTCGTGACCAGCAAGAATGAAAGCAATCAAATCATTCTACACGTGAAAATTAAAAAAATCAGCTGAGGGAATATGAAGATCATTCAATTACGAAGAGATAAAATTACCAATAACTCTTCGTTGGATAAGGAGCCACCTTCACCATCGGCTTCCGATTCCAACATCAAAGTACAGAGATCCTTCTCAGCTTCATCCACTTGGGATCGATTGTTGGCCAATTGGGCGCGCTTGTCGACTATGATATCCTCAATTTTACCAATGAAGCGCTTCAGATCCTGATGAAGTTGAACACGACTGGGGAAGAAATGGCGGTATTTGGTGTCAAAAGCAGGGATCAGGAAGTAAAGAGGATGAAAAGCTCCATCCTTCAAGTCCGTATATAGCTTGACCCAGTCGCTGTTTTTATCACCAATGGCATTTGCATTGTATTCTGAACAAAAGTTATTGACCTGTATACCCAAAGGGTTTACTGACTTTGATAGAACGTACCAAATCCTGCTGAGGTAATAGCATCGAAGCCAAATCGTTCCAACAAACCAGAGATTTCAACATCGTTGACATCCTTCTCAATCTCGACAAACAAGTTCTGTACTAAATGACCAAAGATTTTGACGGGCATAGCGCGATGGAATGCTGGGCTGGATGCCTACGTTGCGCAAAATGTATAAGAAACGAGAAAAACCGAAGTGAATATTCGCGTTAACACAATACCTTGCGATGTTTTTTCCATTTTGCACCTGGTTCAGTCAGGATGGACGGGTGACGGATCATACCATTAAGTAAAGTGTCGCCTTCTCCAAAGGAATGCTCGGCTCTTGGAAAAAGCTCTATGAGAACATAAAATGATTAGCGATATACAAACAAATAGGAACAGCATAATAGTGTTTATCATTACCTCCTTTGAGCAACACCTTCTTGATAAGGGCAGGATTCTCTACATAAACGCACCAGCCTACACGACCGCGGCGCTGAAATTGGGAGTCAGAGTAAAATTAAGCCACAGTGCGGTACAAAACCAGTCTCAACCTGGATGAGACCGCTTACCACGTACATGCCGGATTCGTTTGATTTCGCAAGAGCAGGGGCATAAAGCTTCTTGAACTGAACCCATGGCGTATCACCTCGAAGTGTTGACCAAATCACTCTAAAGTTGTTAACATAAGGCAGGCGTCGCAATGCTTTAGGAGGAAGGGCGATGGCGGTGTAAAATCTGTATAAGACAAAAGCTGTGACAGCACCGACAATATACGTTGTGTTCTGCTTCTTCGACGGCGATCCCAAGACACGATTGTAAAGCTCGATAGCCCTCTTGCTGGTGATATCAAACAGCTGCTGCGAACTTTCAGATAACATCATCGTAACTGACAGTAAAGGGAGACAGGTATGTTGACGTTGAGAAGAAATAGTAGTTTCTTTTTAAATATACCTCGGCATTTACGTGTGGAAATTATGGGACCGCTGTCGGATTAAGGGTTGGTCCGATTCGGATCCGGCTCCCGAATCGGACCAATACATTCGCCGGAACCTTTATTGTTTTATCCAGATCCCCAGCATATATATGATATTAACATCATGTAATAATCTCATGGACAACTCAATTCTAGAATTATAACAGAAGCTACAAAAGCTTGTTACTGATCTCCCAGAATTTCACATCGCAAGGAAGTTTTCACGTCACTACTGGAGTGTGTAATAAGGTCCCACACAAACTGATCTCCGTCGGTAGCAATTTTTAAGGCCGCTTACATTTCCCGGCTGTAAATAGCCCTCGCCTGACTTATGGTAGCATCCACTATTCCAACGATCCACCAATGATCGTCACAAATATAGCTTTGTCTAACGGATCAACCGGATCAATGTTATACTAACGTTAGTCGCTTACGATCCGTCCGTTTCACGCATACAACAACAAGCTCTCGTGGCGACTTGTGCAGTCGACAGAAGATGTCCAGTGGAAGCTGTCGCCGCCACCCACAAACATCCGATGGTCAGATGCAAGTTCAGTAGTTTCTATAGAATACATCTCGAAGGGCACTTCAATGGTTAGGCATGTATGTCATAAAAAATGGTCGATATGCTCTGGCGCCACTACCAACGTTCGGGTGAAGATCATACACCAAATGCCACAAGTCAGCTGTAATTCGCGGCAGCGTTTAGTGAGCAAACAGCGGGCAGTCGAATACATATCGCAGTACGAATCGGGCGAGAGACTGAACAAACCGGGCTAAGAAAATTAAATAAAGAACTATAGAACAACATCCCTTGGTCAGGCGGGGAAATAAATGGGTATCTCCAAGTCTGTTAGAGGATGTTCAATTCGGGCTACACCAGCTACTCTACAACACAGTGACAATTTACCATGCCGACATGTTTATAAAATCTTTCTCATACGCAATAAAAAGAAAACTTATTTCATCCTACGATAAAATTTCAATATTTGAAAACTCTTCAGCATTGCGGTAAGCAACTTGTGTAATCTGCTCTTTGTAGCTTCTTCACGAGCTTATGGCCGTTAATAAGGAGAAAACCTCTTTGTCGCTGAAGCACAGACCGAAACATTTCCCACTTGCGTCCAAAATAAATACTTTCAAGCTAGGGAAGCAATGACATAGAATACCTTCAAATTGTATAGTCCAGTGTTTGGGTGCCACTCCCATTCGAATATTGAAAGTATTCCTGCTACATTGTGAGAATAATTTCCATCACTTATAGGCATCATTATCATCTGAGGCGATCATTAGGTAAAAGTATATAGCATACCAAATTCTGGTGCTCGATTCCGAAAGTGGTAACTGGGCTCGCCATCCACACAGAACCGTATGCATGATAGACGATTAATGCGCCTACGAAACTCAATACATGGATGCAGGGTGTGAGCTCATGAGCCGCTGCCACCGGATCAGCATAGCAAGCTGGAAAATCCAGCAAAGGATACTTTGTCGTTTTAAAAACCTTAATAGATGTCACGTTAGCTTATCGGTAAACCATTTATTTCACAAGAGACAGCAGCCTGATAGGAAACAATTTTTCGTGGGATACTGCCGTCCATCATATATGAAGACCTTTACAGCTCAAGTACATGATGCCTCCGAATGCACATGGAAAATTTTCTTCCCTTGTTTAGCAACGGCTGGTGGGTTTGTAACCATATCAGAAAAAAGTATTCTTTTTGAATTGATCAGTGGAAATACTACCGTATCTCAGTGTGTAGTGATGAGATTCTGAATTACTGTCTGTAATATAAGACCTTTATATGGAAAGGACGAAAGCATGCTGTCTTCGGCCCAGCGGGTAAACCAGACTATCCCTCAAAATTTTGATATCAAGGCTAGCGGCTAAACCAGCTTATCCCACTTCCAAGATAAGAAAGTAACATTCATTTTGGAGACAAAAATATAGATTAAAACGCTATGGAGATGTTGAATTGCATGTGCCACGACCTGGAGCGTGATAAGCAAGTTAAGTCCCTATTAATCATATGTCACAGCTTGAAGTCCTGAAAATGTGTCATCGGTGGAAAGCAACAGTAGCTCAGCATTTGAGATATTCGTTCTATAGTGTCAGCTCACTCGTGCATTTATTTGATAATATCACGTACAATTCGCTACTTTATCATTTGTCTGACTAGTCACCATTGGAATACAATTGTTACAGAATTGAATCCACATGTGGCCGACAGCAAGGCAAAGTTATATAGACATCTGTTTATCATTGTTTCCAACCACTCTCCACAACGTTAGACGTTTTTGATCAATACAGACCCTACAATTAAAGCATGAACGGTAAAATGTTGACTTGAAACTGATCAGTTCATAATGTGAGTATGATGTGTAGCTACTCAAACGCTTGCAAAGCATCTACCACTGGAAAATCCGACATGTACCTACTGTCTAAAAAATGCCAACAAATTATCCAATCATTCCGTATATCAGCTTCTTACTGAATCGTCCTTAAATGTTTATTGATCGTGTAGTTTCACACTGCCATCATCCAACCGTAAAATGTAAAAACTACTTTAGCATAATCCAAGTTCTTCTTTTGTTCCAGTTATCAATGCTAAAGTTATTTCAAGTAAATAAAAAGTCTCTCTTCTCTATTATCTGGTGAATACGAAACCGCCATCTGCTTGGCAGTACATCCATTGTTTAGTGCTAAACCTTCCACATAGGACGTTTTCTTTTTCTCTGCACAACTTCGGATATCAACCATGGTTGCCTTTCAAAGGTGCAGACATTTCTTTCAGCACTAATTATACTACGACCTTGCTAGCGGTATCATTAGCGGTATCGATAATCGACATCGGCAGCTTGCATTCATCCATCATAGCAACGCTCTATAGATTTTTCCCAATGGTTGACTGCAAAGATCTTCAGTTTCATTCCGACATATATACAAACATCAACTATCAGCACTTATTCCTATAACTTCGCATATATTTTCTTACCTTGTAGCTGGAAGCACAATATAACTACACCGCTTCCTTTACCTCAGCCTCCTGATATACTGTGCAAATGCAACCTCTGCTCCCTAGAATCAGCTATACCAAAACCTCGTATTAAGTCTTCCAGTGTGCTCCAGGAGGCATTCCACCAGTTATCTAACCAATCACAACTTCCGGACTGAAGAATATCCATAAATTTCACATGTAGTCCAATTCAATCAAGTTTCGCTCGAAGCTGATGATCAGTACCCCTGTTTCGCCTTTTAGAGGACGCTTGCAATGTTATCTCGCGCCTAGTATCGCCATGTCAATCCACATATACACTAGAATAATAGTGCCAATAAACGTGTCACATACCGTTCTGAACTGCAGTACACAGACTTCTTTTCGGTCGCATCTACCCAGTGACTAAATATAAACATCGCATGAGTTTGTTCGCTTGCATATTTACGTTGATGTCCTTTTCGAGCTTGCCTATTATGTAAAATAAGTTTTTCCCCATTGGCACTATAAACCATTGGTAATCCCACCGTATATTGTTAAGGCTCCGTAACATACGGTTCTTCAATTGTGCATTCCTCAGACATCTAAGCAGGTTTCCAAGGGTCCATTCGGTCTTCGCTGAAACTAACATTTACCAATTATGATGGTACCATGCCAAGGATACGATTTTTTCTGCGGCTTCAAGAACGTACCTCTTGCGGTTCAACTTTGCCTTCATTCGGCCTGTTATTTCTTTATATAAACTACCCGAAACCGTCGTCAATGTGTATGTTGCCTTGTCAATTCAAAAAGGCGAAAATACATTGGACTACCGCTTGTTTAAATTGGGATATAAAATGCTTCTCACATATGAAAACACTTGCTGTAAAGTCTTTTGATATTCAGTAAACTGCCCCTTGTAGCGCGCATTGCATTGTACGCTTTTTTGTAAATATTCTGAGTATCAATACCGCATTCTTGAGTTGATGCACACAAGACTTGTACATGGTCGTAATTTAATGCATCGCATGCAGAATGAAACAGATCTTCCAATTCAAGAGATCCTTTTTTCTGCATCGCCATCAGTATCAGCTTCTTCGTCTTTTTAGCTATGTTCATGTTCATCACCTCTAGAGTTTTTCGTATTCCTCTCAAAGACGGTGGGATCAACTTCATTGTGCTTCATACGCATATGCCGGTTCAAATTGCGTTCTCTTGAAAATGTTCAATCAAAATCTGTATAACGGTATGTCTGGCGTGCGCAAATGTTTTGTACCGACTAACATATGCTAGTGTGCAAAAGGTTGCAATCCCACAAATTACTTCCAACTCCATGCTTTAAATGAAATTCAGTCGCCGCTATCGACTGGCGACTTAAACTTACGGCTTCGGTTGTTAGATGGATTATGTCGCCTTGTATTAGCAATAGCAAACGATCTTTGCGTTCCACCCTCACGACTCCTTTACAGACATGACGGTGTTTAAACTGCAGACGCCTTTTTATCGCTTAGTTATTTTGCATTCTGAACGCAGAGTTACATGGACAAAGGCAGTGTGCCAACAAAATTTGTAAACGACGAGGTATACTATCATTCCAGTAAAATAAACGCAATTAATCTAAGCTACATAGTAAGCCTGAGGGAATCCCATCACAGCAGCTGATCATATTGTCTCCATTTACTGGCACGCGCTCGACGAAACTACATGTCTGAATCCTTCCTGGAGCTAACCTATGCGTTTTGGACAACCTTGCAAGCAGGACAGTCAAAACTGAAAAGTAATTTAGTTATAAATGATGGTTCATATGTTCTATGTGAAGAAGTATTGGCAACTTACATGACGAATTCCTCTTGGTCCACAGGACACACAAAAGTAGCGATGAAAGATGCAACTTCAGTCTGACTAGCGTTGCGGCTGATTGAATGGATATCGCCAGGGTTTTCACTCCAAGAGTCACCCTCTCCAAACTCTTCTACAGGACCGTCATTGATTTGTGATTGGACTCGGCCCGACAGAACTGATGCACTGACAAAGGCATTTCCGTGTCTGTGCCTCTCTGTAAATGCGCCGGGCTGATAAGTGACTTTTAGTGTGGCTAACTTGAAGGTAGGGGCATTTGGGAGGACATGGCAGTAAAGAAGGTCAATCTTTGTACCATCGGGCAGTGCTTGTGCAGCGCTGCAAGTAGACGAATAATGTTATTTAAGCCAGACGTTAAAAATAGAGATAGGTAATTAGAATCGATGCCTACCTGTTCTCTTGAGATGAAGACATAGGTGGAAATAAGGGACGATATATTGTTTGGCGTTTCAAAGAGAATATGTCACAGCTCCCATTTATACAATATTCAGGAACGCAGTCAGCATTCGATAAGTAGGCGAAGGTGAAACCAATTGAATACCCGCGACTGGGCCAAAAAGTACCCGCGGGTACTTAATCTGTCTTAAAAATTAGGCGAACAAACACCAAACAATAACATGGCTATTTATTCAACCAATTGCGATGATACTTATAAATGACAACGAGGCTGGCAGTGAGAGTTGCGATGTAATTCACATTCTCTATTCATAACATTGGACTCATGACTCCAGCATCAATGCAAGCTCTTATTGTTGGAAAGGTATCACACAAGGTAACGCTGGATACCACACGTTCGGTTCCTAAGCCTTCTGCCGATCAAATTCTAGTGAAGGTCGCATACGCAGCACAAAATCCTCCTGATGCATATGTCCTTGACCCCGATCTTTCAGCTGCCTATCGCAATGAAGAGAATGTCATAGGAACCGATTTTGCCGGCACAGTTGTGAAAAGCCACTCAACATTGGTCCCGGTTGGATCTCGAGTGTGTGGTTGGGTACCCGGCAACATCACGGATATTGGCTCTTTTGCAGAGTATCTTGTTACGGATGCTAATCAGGTTATTCAAGTACCAGACAAGATGTCTCTTGATGAAGCTTCCACCATAGGCTTGAGTTTCATGACAGCCGTTCATGCTCTTTCGTCATGCCTCGGGCTCCCCTTGGAACCAAGATCTTCTGACCCTGTTCAAGACCCAAAGCCTGTTCTCGTCTGGGGTGGAAATACTGCTTGTGGTAACTTTGCCATCCAGATTCTCAAAAATACCGGCTATCATGTTATTACGACTGCTTCAAGCAACGCTCGCGAAAAGCTTCAGAAACTAGGAGCAGACGTTGTATTGCCACGAAACGATCCGGAAAAGACTGCTACTGAGGTGCGTACCTTATATCCTCACCTCGCCCATGCACTCGACTGTTTCGCATCGTCCGAGTCGGCGGCTGCCTGCGCTCATGCACTCGGGGAGAAAGGTGGTCATGTACACACACTGCTACCCATCGAGCAACACTTTCCAAATGTTCGCACCACATTTGCTTTGGTGCACTCAACATTGGGCCGGCCAACGAGCGTGTTCGTTTTAATGACCGAAAAGCCTACTGCAAATCAGTTAGCGACAGATCGACAGCTTGCAACGCAGTGGTGTAGTTTTGATAAAGGTCACGCTTACAAGCTCTTGAACGAAGGTCGTCTCCTTCCAACAGCAATTGTCAAATGGGATGGGGGATTGGCGCAAGTCCAGAGTGGCATTGACGCGATGCTCCGAGGTGATATTGCCGGTGCGAAGATCGTTCACTCCATCTGTCCGCAGGAAGCTTGAAGCTTCAAGCAATATGATCAAAGCATTTTTTAATGGCCGGCTTGCACGCCTATGTTTCTCTACCTCTGCGCATGGTCGCATAGTTGAAAAATGTATCGTTGAAATAACACGAAATTTAGGATAGCAACGCTGAAAGTCTTGTCTTTGGACTACTTCGTGTTGTAGAAAACTCCCCTGCACTTATATGTATCAATTCCATCAGGGCACAGAGAATATCCTCGTTCAATTCATAAATGATTTCTTATTCAATACCGTTATTATTATCAAATTGATTGTTGACTTAAATAAAATATAAGAAGATCAATCGTTCAATTTGAAAGTATTTACTACACATAGTCTTGGTGGAGAAAATAGTGCGTTGGGTGCTTACCGACAATTGAATTAAATCAAGAACGAAAGTCCACCCACTAGGATTGAAAAATGTACCTTACCCTTCCGCGATTAAGCTTTTTCTTCTGTTGTGTCTTTTCGACCTCAACACGACTTACCAGGAAAAGCTAATGATAACGCTTATCGTCCTATGTGTCGTTCTGTTTATTAAAATCTTTAGCATCGATGTCAGGCAGCGCTTGTTTCCGAAAGACTTTTGAACGTCTTTTGATATCAGAGACTGGCTGTGACATAGAGTACAAATTGCTAGTCCAGCAACGGAGATGTCCACCATACCTCGGACTGTAGCTTTTCATCACAATAAAACTGTGACCATAACATATAAGCCTTGAAAAATCTGAGATGGTGCGATACTTTCAATAGGGGAGATCTTTTTTGATTAAAAATGGATATGGTGAACGATAAAAATCAATACTTTATTTTGCTTTCGCTTTGTTGGCGTAACGCTGTATAAAGGAAAGATTATTTTTATGTTGAGGAGATCCTGAGACTTTCGAATTTTCAAAAGCGTGCAACAAAGATTTCTCCATGTCGACTGCGAATAGTACATGGTTTTCAACGGCATCAATGACTTTAGATACCAGTAAGTTAATACACCAACTTTGGTTAGCATGCAGCAATTCTAACATCAATCAATATTCTGAGAACCCGTACTTACGTTTGCTGATATGAGTATGAGTACTGTCATTAATGGCAACACTTACTTCTTGCGTGGGAAGCGCTAGTTGGTATCGAGAGCAACCTTGACCAAGTTGTTCGGCGGCAGTAACCTTTGAAATAATCCATGATCATCAGCTCCATTGACGGGCCTATTGCAAGATTTTTACTGAAACGAATCTTTCTCAATGCAGACTGCTGATAATATCGACATATGTGAGATGATGTACCCAATTGTGCGAAGCTGCCTAACGAACGTTTCCTCTTTGTCCACAATATCACACAAATGGATGTATGTTGTCCTTTAGAGTTCTTGCAGCCTTCACACCTTTTTCAAGAAGTATTTTCGTTTTCCTAAATTCCTTCACCTTTGCCACTGGCTTCAGCACAACCATATGGCGGAACTCTTCCGTAAAATAAGTTCGCCGCACTCTCCTGGGGAAGGTGCTATTGGGGGGTGAATGAGGCTCTATGAAAATTTGAGATACGAGCGCGGACATTCTCGGCGTGGTCCCCAGTGCGGAGGGGACTCCTAGCATTGAAGTCTCCACAAGTGTTGATAATCTGATCTAAAAAGATGGGTCCGAGCATCTTGAAGACAGCATCGTCGTTAAGGGATTGTGGGAAATAACATCACAATGATCGAATCGGAGAATACCGACAGAGGGAGGGCATCTTGATGTATGGGCAGAGAAAGGATTGGCAAAGTACCAGAGGGCGATATCAAGGCAGTAATGCCATTACTGCCTCGAAAGATACCTGCAGTGAGGTAGCCATAGCTAAGGAACTAAGTTTAAGTAGTCGATACTGGAGAGAAGAAGAGCCAAGTCTCGATGGATCGAAAAACCCATCTGCGGATGTGATATTTTAGACCGAAAAGAGGTGATGGCAAGCTTAGTCAGACTGAGAAGGTGTCTTTCATTCCTCCACCTGTGTTCTGAGTATCAGAAACAACTTGTTAGATAAGATTCTTTAACTGATGAAGAGCGCCATGACTTACCTGTCATCCTCAGTTTTGATTACTTGCTTACCAGCTTAGAAAATTTGAAACTGTCCCCTCACGAGTGTAATAAAAACATCCAGCTTCCAATACAGGCTACAAGCTGTATTCCAAGCCAGTGATCCCGCCAATACCTTGTATAGTCGTGCGGCAAGCTTCAACCTCGTGTCTACAATTCTCAGCAAAGGGCCAGGTGAGTTCCATACAAGACAGCATGTTTTCTGCCAGCTGTAGATTGCTGCATGCTTTCAAACGCAACCACTTGGCAGGTAGGACTTTGTCCTCACCAATGTGAGGGAAGGCGATAAGCTCTTGGAAAGTACATTGTGAGTCCAAGCAAAGGCCCACCGTCGATTCAGAGATATGCAAGGCGGAAGATTGGCACGATGCGGATCGACGATGCGCTGTCAGACCGATGAGTTGGCCGAATGCTGCAACTACTTCGACGCACGCAAAAAAGGGCCATCGATAGAACGTCGTGATTGGCAAGTCTGCATTTAACGTGTTAAAAGTTGGTCCAGCTTTTTCACACCCTTCCTCCGCTGCATTTGGGATCAATTCGAGAATCTTATTTGCACACTGTCAATTCGGGAGACTGTCAGCGTTAATGAGAAAATAGGCGTTCAACCATCTTTTTACTCACAGAAAGGATGGTCGTTAAAGAGTGACGAGCTAATTCGTATTCCGCCTCGTTTTCCAACTCATGGATGAAAGATTGGCGCTCGCTTGTTCTCCATACCTCGTCAAGATTTTCCTCACTTCCTTCAACCTTGTTCAAATCCTTGAAGGAGCAAACTCGTAACTTCAGGCTGAAACTAGGGACCCAGCGCAGCCGGTGCAGATGAATCTGACCTCTAGAAAAGAATGAATAGAAAAGAATGAATATAAACCCATATACCTTCATCTCTCCTAATTTTAGCACTTGCCCATACAGCATGAACCGACATACTGTAATCATAAGGTGAAGTCTTGTTCTATTCACATTCTCATTCTTCACAGTGAGGGAGAGGTCACTTCCATGGAGTGCTTTTTGCAGGTTGGTAATCATTGTATCCAATGCTTGCAGTCTGGCTTTGGCGGCGGCGCCTTCCATTCGCTCGACGCTAAGTGACTCTATCAGAATGGCAGCACAACGGATACGAAGTTGCCAAATTCCACTCGCCAGATCATTTTTCTAGAGCACAAAGTCAACGATGAGGAATGAGGACTGGAATATTTCCGTCTGGGGAATAGTAAGACTTACCAGGTCTAGTCCTTTAGGAGCATTGATAGAACTCTGCAGGTTGAGAATACTACCTGAATTCGGCCCGGCTTTAGACGTTGACGACCAAAATATAGTATTGCAAACATAGAGCTGTACAAGCAATTACGTTAGACTCTGTTTGGACAGAGCGCATGCGGATATACTTCTTCACTCACCTCCCACCAAGTCTGCCGGAGAGCTTCCAGGAAGCAAGCTGCACAAGTCTCAAACTGATGACATGTGCAACCTATCTGCTCTCCTAATCTGTTCTTGAGCTCAATCGCTCGCACTCGAAATGAGATACGATCATTGCTGAATTCTGGTGAGTCTAATCGGTGCAGCCCATGACGGATAGCGAGCTGTGCTGCTCCGAGCAAAAGTTTTTCAGCTTTGGGCACATCATGAGTGCCATATGCATACGGTACAAGGACCGAGCAAGCTTGAATTGCGTGCATTGCGTCAACAGCACCGATGATATCTAGATGATCAACACCGCTGTTTGACAGAAATTGCTGTAGGTGAGTAAAACTGTTGTCAAACAAACCATCCGCTAAAGTAAAATCTTCTGCCGACATTCGATAACCAGCGGCCGCCATCGCCAGGTAAAGCGACTTTTCGCCAAGCGATTTTTTCTCGGACGGTTCCAGAATGACTCTTTGTATCTGCGTTGTGCCTCCCGAAGTCATGGGTGGAAGATCCAAGGACAAGTCGATGTATCGCTGGACTCCATGCACAATGATTTTTTCCAAGTTTTCTCTCTTCCCTTCGCCGACGCCTTCGCCTGAGATAAGAATGTTTGGGAGATTTGCAGACGTTGTCAAGGGTGCCAACGATTTTTGCGTAAACTCTCCAGAAGAAATGAGTTCACTTGTTTGCTGTGGTGCCACATCATCGTATATATGTAGAGGATTATCATTCACTATTGGATACCATGTATTGTCGCCTAGAGCAATGGACGAGGAAGGTTTATGAATCATCGGTCCTTGTTCATACCCAGGTAATGTGTCCACGTCGGTCTGCATCAATGACAAAACGTCTGACAGATTAATAAAGTTTGCGTCGGTGATGAGATTTTGTGCACCATAGATTTGACTTGACACTTCGCGATCGGTAGGCGACAGAGAAGAACTTATTTCACTGCTAACGGTAGCAAGACTTGCAGACGAATCACTGGAGTCGATTGGAATAGTACAACTAGGATATGCCGGTAAATCTCGACTTTCCTGGACGCCTTCAGTTTTCTGTGCGTTGCGGGGTCGACCAAGCCTTCTACTCTGATTCCAAAGGCACTCCTGATGATTCAAGACACAACGCTTGCATGGCCGTCGTGATTTGACGGGAGGGCCATCTGTCGAGCCAATGGAGTGCTGATCAGGTAGATCTTCCGGAGGCTCACCACTGCACTTTTGTCGAACATTTCTGCAGGATAAACAAGCGAGGGTGGAGCGTTTGGTTCCCTTCACTTTATCGCATTTTGCTGTATCCTTCATCGCTACAGCGAACCAAGAAATTTGTTGTTGTCAGTCGTATTTTTTATTTTAATTTTGACAACGACAGCTTCAGATAACTGTGACCAACCCCTTTTTAAATGGCCTTTACGGACAGAAGACCCTATTGATTGTAAGCACTAAACTGAAAGAAACGTTTCCCCAAGGTCAAAAACACCTTTTATTTCTTGAATGGTCAAATTTTGTACACCTCGGCCGTCACTAAACGGCTGCCCTCACTCAGCTTAGCTCTGATACCATAAAATACTCCTTTAGCCATGAGCCGCAAAGGATACCAGCAATATGGCTGTCGACATTGATGGACTGATTGATATTAAAGACGTGATCCTGTCAGAGCATTAGTAATCTAATGCTCTCAAGTAAATACCCTTTCACATGAAACACAAGTCGCTTTCCTACCTGATCAAGCGTATAATCGGATTCACATCCTACGATGCCTCCATTGTATGTGGCAGTGCGCTGGCGATCATTAATAGGAGACTTGGTTATCGAGGGCAGCTTGAACAGTCGATACGTGATGGACTGAAAGGTGGTTTGGCCTACCAGAGACAGTAGCTCCGGGTCATTGATATCGACCGCCGAGCTTTGTAGCTTTAGCGGAAGAGTAAATCCAATGCGTTTGGTTATATTCAAGAAATCCTCAGTGGACAGCGCACCGCCAATACACTCGCCAAACAGCACTTGGTGGGTGCGGACCGACTCTGGAAGACGAGCGCTTGCGTACACATCCGCAAAATGTAATTCCCCTAAACAGCCAATCAGCTGTTATTCCATTAACGACAACGCCTTTACTAGAAACACTTACCGCCTGCCACTAGCGCTTCGTACACTCCTTCCAGGACCATCTTTTTATCTGGCGACAGATTGATCACACAATTTGATATGCATATGTCTATTGAGTTTTTTTCGATTCCGGCAGCTGCAGATGCTACGATCAATAAGTTGCACCACGTCTTTTCTTCACTGTAAACCCATTTACCTGCAAGGGCTTCAATGTAACCCGTGACAAACCGCACATTCGGTGTGTATCCAATTGCTTGGGCATACACAGGGAGATTCTCGCATGCTACTTTCAGCTGATCGTCCGTCATATCGATGCCAGTTACTTGACCACTTGTCCCAACCAGTGCAGCTGCAATATAGCAATCACGCCCACTTCCACACCCCAAGTCCAGCACGCGCTTTCCCTGAATACCAAGCGGAATAGGATTTCCACATCCATAAAACTATAACCACCGCATAAGCGACTGCGCTGCCAATCTATATTTGCCTCGTACTCGCCTTTTCTTTGACCGGAGAAGGTATTTTGGATATGATTTCGGCAATGATAGAGTTTGGAGCGCGCCGACAGTAGCTGGTAGCTAGAGACATGTGAGTGGCTGAAGCTGAAAAAAGATTCTGTCATACATACCTGTGGTTTTAAGGTCTTTGTTAGATCGAAGTAGTTTACCATAGTACTCTTGGACGACGTCGTGGATAGGTTGAGGTGTGGTCATAGTGCGATAGACAAGCGTTTTAGTTTGTGGCACAGTAGATAAACAAGTGACGCTCTACGTCATCAAGGAATACGAGTCAAGACTGATTTGCTGATACATCAATTGCACAGCTTTATCTAGAGTATACGATCAGCCGCACCAGATAAGATGAAGAAGTGATTCGGTAGAATTTACAGGTATATAGCTAGTACGGTAGATGATTCCCAAATGAAATGAATTGGTTCAAAACGGATACATCTTGCTCAGTAAAATCAACCATCCCATAACTATCAATGAGATAATGCAAGCAAAGTATATGTGACATGGTAAGGGGTATGCACACAGTATTAAAGGCAATTCTGCTGTACAATTAGACAGATACTTTATTGAAGCGGACTTCTTGGAGACTTCTATGACTTCATTTAAAATGGCTATACGAGACAAGGACATAAAATAGATGCTTCGCTGCATCAGTTTGCTACAATGTGGTACTTTAGAAAGTTGCATAAGACTGTCAATAGCACGGATAGTATATGTCGACGGATGAAAGAGATTTTCAAATATACAGATTTCTCATCACTCTTCAGCATAACTTTGGATGTTCTTTGGTCTGGCAAACGAAGTGAAATGCGAATTCTATACGAGCAATTAAAGATTGGATTGAAAGAAAGCTACAAACTAAAGCTGCAGCATCTCTGATGGCAGAAACTCTTTTCGACATTGAGCTAGACTGGGGTATGCCAGAAAGCTGTTGTGCCACACTGCGAGAAACAGTTATTCAACGTATCTTTGGAACGCCTCTGTTGAAAAAGATTATGATACCGAGAGATTAGTTACTTTGAAGGAGCTATTGGATAAAGGTTACACTGTAGACGTGACCGAAAACATTTCATTTCTTAGGACAAACAAAAATTTGACAATAGGAAAGTTTTCTTTTCGTCAAATGCGCGTAGCTCAGCAACTTGCAGCCAACACCGTCGCAGATAATGTACCCCCAAATCCTGAGCAACAAGCCATGGTGGATGTTATGAAAATCTATTCCGCCCTATGTAGCACTCCTGATTCATTTACCCTTGCGCGTGAACTAGGTATTACAGACTGTGAAGAGTTTATGGCTATGAAAAACGCATTACATACCTGGGAATATTTTTTTGCAAGCGAGGCCGGAAAATCTTATGCCAAACTATGTGAAGAATATCATAGCTGGAGATACCGATTAGCTACTGATTTCTCTCTAAGCCTAACTCAAAATGCCTTTGCACTCCTTGTCACCATTGCGGCCACTATTATATCATTCACTGGTATAATCCAAGTCGTTCAATGTTTTGCAAAATAGCTCTGTAATAGCATTACTCGGCCGGGTTTCGATCGTTCCCTTGATGTTTCTGTATTATGCCTTTTTGGAGTGATAGTGATAAACGGTAGGCTGCTCTCGCTCACGCGAAATCACAATGAAACGTACAAAGCTTCTTATTTAGAAACCCACAAATTAGAAGACAGTGTTTATACGGTAATGAAGTGGAAACGAGCCTTAATGACCTGGAGTGATACAATATATTACAAAACCTGCTTCAGAATTTACAGGAGGCAAAGCGAAATTTTGCCATCTGCGGGCTTTAAAATATTAATCAGAACCTCCAGTTCATCGAGAAGGACATGAATGTCGTTCTACATTCCACCCTTACCTAACTCCATTCCGTTCATTTCCAACTTGAGTCCATTTCTATATCATTTTATCTTCTTATGTCATATTATCCCACTGTTTCATAATCGCCATCACTAGATATAAACGATTTGAACTCGACCACTCTTACGCGGCATCAACTCAACCAATCGATTTGTCCTTCTCAGTGATAGCTCATTTGAACGCCAGGACCAGGTAAATGGACTTTCGGTTACGGATGTTAACATCGACCTTAGTGGCGAACATTAAAGTTCATTTTCTCCGGTGAATGCCTAAGTTATATAGACTCAAACTCGCCCTGCGACATCTACGCGCTCTCCAGTATACTGCCGTTGCCATGGATAGCCGATTTGAGCATTTGATGTTAAATGTACAGGAAGATGTATGCCATTTGTTTTTATGACAAAAATACGTTCATTTCCATAAAAGGAAGCTTTTTCCGCAAGGCAATTAGGCTATAGTGAGCTGCTTGATGTCGACTGCAAAGAGATACTGTACTTTATGCTCGTATATTAAAAATGAATTCAGAATACCGGCTAAAGATGCTCGTTCATGAAAAATGAAAGCACCCATTCTTAGAACCATATCCGCTATGAAGAGTGTCAACGCCTACCAAATTAGAGAAACATACCTCATGTTACCAATGGTTTGAGCGAATTATCGTTCAGAAATAAAAATCTAGGGACATTATGAGGAAACAATTTCAAGGTTGGCTCATTGTGTCCAGAATGCAAAATGTTAACACTAAAACATAAAATTGAAATCCATCAGTCAGTTAAACATTGGGTAAATGAAATATCGATTTCGTGCACGAGTTTTCTCTAGCCTTACAGCAGATCAACATATATTATAGAAAACAAGGTAAGACTGCGAACAGGTTGCCATAATTACTGTTATTAACCATGAGAACTGCTCAACGCTAAAGTATAATGACGACGAAGACCAGCATCTAACCTTTGGCAATAAAAAGGTAATATTCAGAAGATACGGGCAAGCTGACAGAAGCACATTCACAATTTTGATAGATATCTTGATAGGCATCCATCTTCTGTGTTTGCTGGCACCAGGCAGAAGTTACGAGAGGCATTTGAAGTATTATCTGTATCAGTCTCAGCATTACATAGGCAATTGGTCGAGATGGGAAGGCAAACTTACGCTGAAAACCTGATAATATTACCTTTGGCAAGAATTACTGATCGATTTATAAAAGTGCGAAAGGAGAGAGTAGAAAAGAGGAAGAGACATCAGACTTGATTTCACCGCGAGCTGTGTTTTCATTGATGAAGCAGAGACTAATTTGTATATTCAAAGGCACCTTGGCCTTTATTTTAGGTAAACCCTCCCCCAAAGGCAGCGCGCCAAAACAATGGCATTTTTAGCAAATTGAATTGGGTACCTCACCAGAAGCAAGAGGCATAGACATATCATTGAAAAAGCTACAGGTTGTTGTATAGTCTAATAAGAAGAAAGTGGATGGGAGGTTGATGTATGGCGTTAACGATAGATTTGGCATGCATACAGATTACTAACCAACATATTGTAAAATACTATGGGTGATGAATAAAAACAACACCAAAGGCTTTTATCTGATAACGTACAATGCCACATCCATGCTCCAACTGCAGCTCGAGATTTAGTTAATGCTGGAGGTCATAAATGTCTATACTTAACCACATATTCACCGCTATTGAATGCAATTGAAGAATTTGTTCAATAGCGAGTGCTGATATAATGACAAACATGCTGACTGAGGGAGAAGAGTGAGTGGTCATCGATCTGAACCTACGAATAGAATGCAAAAAGATGTCGTGGATAACAACATGAATTACAGAGGGCCTCTTCCATATATTTATGAGTTTACATCGGACTTCTGTGTTTGTAAAATTTCTGAACCACACTGTTATTCAACGTCTATCAAAAGCAATTGTAAGTGTTCGACAGGGACGTTACGGTTATCCTTTCACAAACAAGGATACCTTTTCTTCATCAGTAACAATGGTTAAACCGGCAATCTCTTTGATTATTGTCTGCGCACATTCCATAATGGCCCGCAATCAAATCACAGCATCTGTATGCATTATGAATGCATAATCAGAAACTGATTATTGAATTACGTCTGGGCGCGTCCCATAATGTCCTTATCAACTTAATCACAGTGTCTCCTTGCATTTATTATGTTAAAATCAGATTGTGACTATTGAATTATGTCAAGGAGCATTCCTGGCCTGTTCGCGTCACTTTAATGACTGAATCTAGCCGCATTTTGTTTCAGTCTTTCTGGAGTCATCTCAGTTACCTCTAACGCATTCCCAAGTGATCCTAAGCCAATCTGGAGTACCTCCAAGTGATTCTCAAGCACTTTGGCACACTTTGACTTACTCTGGGGTAATTTGACATATTCTGGGGTACTTTGACTTACTATGACCGTGGATACTGTTACTATGCGTGTACTGTTACTATGCGCGTGTGTTTTACAACTTGGTAAGTCATTTGAACTTGTAACTTGTGTTTTTAACTTGTAACTTCATCTTATTAACTTATACTTTGTCTCTTTTAATTATGTCATCTAAACTCAAGTCAGTCTTCATCTTGGTCTTACTTGGTTGTCATCTTGTTACTCTGTCTACTAAGAACTCTCGTCTTAAACCCTGAACTTATCTTTTGATTATGAGATCTGTCAGACTTAGTAACTTGGATGATAACTTGGTAAGATTAACTTGAAGTTTGACTTGGACTTAGATATTAAGACTGAAGAT